GAAACTACCTAAGTCACTTATAAGGAAATTCACTATGGCCTCTCAAGGTCGAGTCAACCAGCTCTTTATTTGTTGGAGAAAGCTCTTTTAAACCAACAATTAAGCTCTAAGTAAGTCATGCCTATTGACAATTGTCATATCAGCTCACTTCCATTCCACTTTTTAAGGACAATAACATTATTTATCATAAATATTACCATATTGTAGTTATTTACATTGGGACCTTGATTATTAAGTCTCTTAACTTGAAATATCTTAATTCATGACAAAACTGGTTGATGATATCAAATCTCTGGTTCAATTAACTAAAAAATTTCTCTCTTTTGGACCTAGACCAATATAAATTTGTTTTTAAACTTCACACAAACATTTTTCGTTCAACGGATATCCGGGCCAATGCTCTACTAAACTAACTCATTATAAACTGATCTCTTTTTTCTTTTTTGTAACCGAGGTATCTGGGGTCAACACATCTCTACTAATTCTCGGGATCTTTAACATCTTATAAACCCAAAGAACTATAAATTAAAGATTATTGTGATATAATCCCAATATTTGAATCCAAGTTTAACCCCACACTTGGGATTGGATAAATTGAAATCTCGATGATGTAGGATGGACATGGTTCTGATGTCACACATTATAACTGAGATTTATTCTTTGCCCCACTTACTCACTCCACCGTTGCTGTAAATGACCAGAGAAAAGGCAAGAAATTTGAAGAGAGAGAGAGAGTAAAGCTTTCTTTTGTGTTCTCTTGAATGATAGGTTACTGAAAGCAGAAAAGAACTGACCTCCAACTAACTTCATACAGAACTATAAAATAAAACCAGTAAGTAGTAATGTAAAGTAACATTACATCATTACCAATCAGCAATCATTCTGTATCTGATCTCTCATCAAAGCCACACACTCAAAATCAAGTACCTTAGATTCATTCAAATGGAACCTCATCAGTAAAAGAAATGAGTAAAAGAAAAATATCATGAAAATCCATTTTTCTGAAACTCCCAGTGGCATGTGCCAGATTCATCCCCACCTGCCGCCCCATTCATTCTCTCTCTCTCGCTCTCTCTGTGTAATATCAGAAGAGTTTGCACTCTTTTTTGCAGAATATTGAACTAAAACACTAATGCATAACCTGAGACTTTGAACTTCCAAAATTACATCCAACTCTTTCTTCAACATTCAACTCTCTCTAAAATGGACTCAGAACTCGTCTTGATTATGCTCTCTTCCAACTCACACCCCCCAGAACCAGGTATAGCTTGCATTTATTATGTAGAAAATAATGGTGTTAGTATATATAGTTGATTGTGCTCTGTTAATGTTTTATTGATGTGTTTTTTGTTGGGACATTTGTGGAACGATGAAGGTGTGATCTGTGATATTTGCCGTGGTTCAAATGAAAATTGGCTTCCGGACTTCTAGAGCCGTTTCTTTCACATTTAAAATCTGCTAAAGATCAGATATCCAAAGAGGGTATTCCATCACTCTTCGCCAGTGGGTTCAGATGCCTCTTGGTTCACAAGCCACTGTGCAAAGGTAAAATTCGTTGTGGGTTTTGCCGAGACAAAAGTCATTGAGTTTCTGGATTTGAGTTGCCTTGTCATAAAAGGGAGCTATGCAAATAGTAGAAAAAAAAAAAAAAAAAAAAAGAAGTTCTTGATTTTTCGATCTTATCTAGATTTATCACTGTCAGATTGATACTTAAAAGCATTTCTGATTCTGGGTCATAATCATTATGACTAAATATATGTTTTTAAACAGATTTTTGAGATTTGTGAGCTCACCAGAAGTTCTCTGGAGAGATTGTTTTCGGTGAGCGAGAGATAGTACAGATTGAGATGATTGGCTAATGCAGCAGTAGGAGATGAAGATGGTATGCTTGCAGCTATTTTACATCCTTCATGTACTGTTATGCCATAACTTAATAAGTTCTAAAGCACATAACTCTGAAACTTAATGCGAATTTCCCAACACATTAAATGAAACTGTTGCATTGCCTATAAGTGATTCTGTATACGAACTTATATTTGACAGGAAATGAAGTGGAAATTTCCAAAAGACAGTTGCTTCATCTAAGGTTAGTCATTAATATAAAAGAAATAGTTTTTTTAATGCTTCTTTGAAAGCTCTATTAGGTTTTGGACGCCCTTGTTATGATCCTGCTTTTAGTGGAAAGGCGAATTCATGGAGCCGACGATGCTGTGCAGGAAGAAAATTCCAAGTAAATATCTTTTTTTCAGTTTGCTATATCTGGTGACAATACTATGCTTCATTTTCTGGATTTATATCTCAACAGTATTAATTATTCCTGTGGACGATGAACAGATCCGTCTTCAACGTGCTCTGGAGACTCGGAAGGCAGTACTTTGCAAAGAGCAAGCATGGCATACGCCCGTGCCTTGGTTGCCGGATATGACCCGGCTGTATAGGATCTTATTTCCTTTTCTGATGCCTTTGGAGCTTCCCGTTAAGGTTTGAAAGAAAAGCCTAATTATTCTGGTCAATTAAGTGTTCTATTGTAACATATTCAAGGAGGTTTAAAGAGTGTGCCCTGTTTTGTCTAGCAAGCATGCATAAATTCATGGATTTGTGCAAGAAAAAGAGAGAAGATGGACTCTGGATGGATGAAATCGCCGCGATGCAGGCCTTCTCTCAGCCAGAGTTGCCTTACATTGCAACATCTGGAATCATTCTTTGCGGGTGAAGATAATGATCCTACAGGGAAGCAGATCGGCTCAGCTGATGGATCATGTGCTGACACAATCATGGTATGAAATATGAATGATTATTTTTATTTTGTCTTCAAATGATCTTTCAATTCGCGATCAATGGTACGCGTTCAAACTGGTTTAAGCACCTTCTCCTTCTTCTTATCTTTGAAGTTGATAAAATATTTTGTGCAGATAATAATTTGCCCACATGGAAAAGCTCAAGTGCCAATGTCATGGCCAAACCATATTCCTCAGTACATGCACAACTTTCAAGGCCCCATGGTTCACCAAGTGACGCCGTATCAAGGTTACCATTTTCCAGTATGCAGGTACTCCACCATATTATCCAGGAACATGAGGTGCCTCCAAATGCGGAAGATTCTAATCTGGCGCATGATTGGGAGGTAGATGATCGAAGAAATCATAAATCTTCCAGGAATAGGAAGAAATCTTCACGTAAAGTCGGGAAACTTCAAAACAAGAAGAATCCACTGAGCTCGATTCCATGCTCTGAGAATGAATCAAATGAAGATATCCAGAATGGAAATAAGCATTCTTTGAGGAAAAAACTTGGGAAGCAATCCTCAAGAAAGTTGTTATCCGCAATATTAATTACATCACTTCTAATAGAGATGAGAAGAAGCACACACCGCTGAGGAACTTCGGACGAGATGAACTTATTATGGAATTCCCTAAAGCAGCAGGTAGAGGACCGTTGGCTCATTGGAGAAACGACATAATCTCCTCACACCACCGCAAGAAAGATGGGGTCAAGAGTTCTAATGATGCAGTTAAAAGAAATGATAACTGGGATACTTTTCAGAGTCTTCTCATGAAAGATGATGATACAAATTCTTATGGAATGGATCCACACCCTGTATTATACAGGGTGAATATTCCACACATAAAGCTCAAGACCGGGAAGGTCATTTGAATTCAACATGGAATCTGAGCGAGCTGAGAAAGAAGAGCAGTTGCAAGTGATTCCTTGTTGCAACAAAGACAAATACAGGTACTGAAGGAGACTCGCTTTGGAAACTTAGACGAGTGAAAGGCCGTCCGGTTTTTAAGGAGAGATAGCACATGAGGAGTTCTTATTTTCACATAGAAATGGGGGTTCAGGGAACTATTCACAAGCTGCACTATCTGATTATGCCAATGCTTCTACTATGATCAAAACTCAACAGGAGGAGACTGGATCACTGGCAACCAACCAGATAGATCAGCAAATCACTGGCAAACAAGTTTTGAAGGGGATTTTGCTTCATCAATGGCTGGCGACAGTTTCCACCGCGGAAAAGTAAGAAAGATGTTCTCTGATGACTCTTTTATGATCCAAGCTCGGCCGCTAGTAATGATCAATCTGATTCTCATGTAAGGTCAGATATAGCATGGTTACAGACATTATTGAGGCTACTCTATATGAAATGAGACACCAGAAATATCTCATGACAAGTCGGAAGCTTTTGGCAACCATGACCAGAGTCTTTACATGGTTCTTGGGCGTGATTCAGCTGCAGAGCAGGCTGCAGCCTCTTGGACACCAGAAATGGATTTTGAAAATAGTATTGTATCAACCAAGCCAATGAAATAACTCAATGCTGAAACCGGTGCTGGGATAACAAACTAATGGTAAGGGTGCTGGCAAAAGAGGAATTCCTGGAGGAAAAGTTTTGAGTAAAGATGCAAGTCTAAACTTCCAAGTGCTTCTCTTGGCAAGCAAAACTGACATCATATCAAGGAGCAAGAAACCATCTCCCGAAACAGCCCGCAGTTTCAGAGAAGTAAATTTGATAAGGTACTAAAACTAAAGCCAGCCTGCTTTTCTTTCTATTCATCTTTATGTTCAATTGTTTCTATAAACTTTGTTTTCCTCTCCTTACAAATAGGAAGAGAATAGGAAGAGAATGGAAGAGTTACTGATTCAGCGACAGAAGAGAATTGCTGAAAGGAGTGCTGCTATGGTGGTTCAGCAACAGTAAAAAGAACTCCGACAGAAAATAATCTTCCATAGCCTCAAAGAAGAAAGGAAAAACTGAATTCAGTCCCCAACAAAGAGTCTGCCAAATTACACAAATCAGTCTTCAGGAGTTCCCACGTAGATCGTCTAGCAACTGCGCGGACAACTCATGGTGTCACCAACGCCAACAAAACCAATCAACCCAAAAAGCCAATTTCGAAGGCAATGGTACTACACTACCGGTCACAGAAGACTGCTGGACTGAAAATAAAAATCAAGTGCAACAAGTGAAACCTTCAGATAAGAAAAATGGTCAAGAAATGGTAAATGAGGTACTTTCTCGTCGTAACTCTGATGTTCAAGAAAAGCAGGATAGCATGGACGCCAAGTCAGCATTACCAATTGAGACAACAGCTACACAATCAACTCACCATACCGGTGCCATTGATGATTGCAAAGACATTAAGGATTTACAAAATATTTCTTCAACTGAGAAGATTGAAGGGATATCAATTCACAAGAAGTACCTTGGATACAGAAATTGTAATGAGAATATGATTAATAAGCCCTCTGCACAATTGGATCGCTCAAAAAGTGATGAAGAATTATCCAAGGCACTCCAGGTCTTTCTGAAGATACAAAAGTTTCCGAAGATAGTTGCATCGTTTCTGAAACGACCGTGCATCCTGCACCAGCATCACTTGACAAGGTTTGAACTCTTCTAGGTATATTGAAGAAAGTGATGGAACAAATGAAAATTTCCCGCTCTGCTGAAATTTCGGAGATAAAAATCTCAACTCCCCCACCTAGTGAAATATAGCAGACCAAATCACTCCAGAAAGAATGGAACAATGAAGACACTCTCCAAAAGCTGCCAAAGGGTTTAGAAAACTACTTTTATTTGGAAGAAAAGCAAAACTATTAGTTGCTTGATCTCATAGACTTCTAGGTTTCTTTCTTTTTTTTTTTTTTTTTTTTTTTATGTTTTTTTTTTTTGTGCTTGCCCCTTATGTGTGTGCATTTCATGTCATGGTGCCTCTGCCTTGGAATGTGGGTTGCTCAAGAGCTGAAGGTGGAGCAACCAGTCGAACTATTGGATACGTTGCCAACCTTTGCCACCATGTGACTATCAAGAATAATGTAGACGGTTTTCATACACAATAAGGCCTCGAGTGTTTCTGCCATGAGAATCATAATGTAATTTATGGGAATTTGAGTATCTAGTCTGAGAGTGTAAACAGGTAATCACTTTATTTGTTATTCCTTTTGAATCTGCATTGATCTGTGCCGAGTCCTTTTTAGATCACTTGTAATCTTCATTTTTACTTCTGATTGTTTTCCGGAAAGCTGGTAATGACTTTTTGCTGTGAATGCATTTTTAGCTAATTTCTATGGCAGGGGAATTCAACTTGTACTTTGTTTTGGTTGACAATATAGTGATTTGGTAACTTAAACATCTTAGGATCTTACCATATATCAAATATCTCAATATGAAAATATCAATTTCTACTGAACCGTAACGAAATAAGAGAAGCTTAAGCAGCTACGTTAGCCTATACATCTTCATATTCCAGAAGTTTTCGGTGACCAAGCTCACCTATCGCACAATCGAAAGGGACGATTTTTGAATGACAGATTACCACTGTTACAAATGCTGGAACCATTACTACCATTTGATATTGAACAGTTTGAACCAATGTTTGTTTTGTACTTCACTTGGGGCTTAAATTTTGTTCAAGATCCGAAGGCTGTGTTCTTCAGCTATTTCATCCATCAAATTCAGCTTCGCATCATCTGATATCAAACTCATTCACATATTTATCGAACTGCTGAAAAGTTTCCTATAAAGAAAATTGAGCAAGACGAAAGTGCACTACTTTAACATTCTTTGAATTGGATCAAAGAAAGGGAAAATGATACAGTCCCCAAAAAAGGGATACTGAATTCATACACCGATAGACATGACACCATCATAACTCTTGATTAATTATGAATTTTGTTTTTAAAAAAAACAGATGGTGCCACGTCTGTTTGGTGCATGAATTCGGTATACTTTTTCGGTAACTGTGGCATTGTTATAAAGAAAATATAGCACAATTTCTCTGTACCTCTCTCGGCCAATATCAAAAATGTTGGTGGCCAATGATTAGGAACCCGGCCCATGTGGCAACCCCGCCAAGGGACCGAGTCACGATTTGACCGGTCTAACCAGTTTGACCAACGATTTAACTGCTAATCTAGTAGGTTTAAAATCTAGCAAACGCACCCTTGATAACTACACATCAATCCCTTCATGTTTGAAATCCAGCAAAAACACCCTTGTAAACATCTGACGATCAGTGGCCAATCGAACTTGGGATGATGGGGGTTTTTGTGGGGAGATGTCGGTGAGGCAAATGGAGGGATCGGGGTGATTTTTGGGGCCAGGAACAACCCAAAAAAAGTAAAATCGAAAAACCCTAAGGGTGGTCGACGGCGATCGATGAGTAATCAAGGTTGGTGTTGGGGTTTTTGGTGGGGAGAAGCCAAGCCAATGAAGCCAATAGAGGGTTCGAGGGTGATTTTAGGCACCGGATTCCGCCGGAATGAGGGAAAAAGTCCCAAAATGTGAGAGGGGTTGAGTGGAAGGAGTAAGGGATGTTTGTAATTTTGAGGGCCGATTTTCTGCCTTTACTGATTAAATCGGTGAAGGCCCCAAGTTCAGATCTAACCAGTTAAACTGATTGGGCCGGGTTGGGTTCCTAATTAGTGTTGGTGGCAATCAACATTGCATTATAGAAAGAACTAATCTTCGATGCAACAAATGTATCTACAACTCCAATTAGGTGGGGCGTGTCAAACACGTGCGATGACATGGCGAAACCCTTGATGATGCATCCACTATGCTGAAGATTTATTTTCGCAGAAATCATCTATTAAGATACCGAGGATTGTAATATTTTATAATTTCGGAATTGGATGGTTGTTAAATTTGGAAAACAAAAAAAACAAAAAAAATCGAATGACTTTGAAGCATTTTGGTGGCGAGATGTTCGGTATCTTATGCTAATCGCCATTCCTTAAAAGATTTTGACCAGAAGGCAAAGCTAGTCAACGATCAATGTTCCGGACCCCACATCCATGTTCTAAATACACGTGGCAAGAATCTGTGGCACACGATGAACTGTACACAGTCTGTACTGCAACGCCAAATCATATCAGAACCCAAAAGACAAGGACAGGCAACTACCACTGAAAGCAAGGTCCCACATGCTGTGCTCCACGCTTCTGAATCGTCCGTTTCACGCATCAGAGTAAAACGTAACATCAGCCGTTGGATCTACCAGTTACCTCTCAACGTGAAAAAGCTGGCTCCCTTATTGTAAAATGTAAGCATCCAATTCTCCTCACCGTCACCGACAATCCATCAATCACATCAAGAAAAAGACAAAATCTCGATTTTACCCTTCTAACTAACTTCTATTTCCAGCAAACAACAGTGCTAAACATACTTGTGCCTTGTGCTCTGAGTGATTGTGCCTTGTGCTCTGAGTGATTGTACCTTGTGCTATTTTTCGAAGCTTCTAATTCTGACAGTTTGTACTTTCATTTTTTCCGATTATTTTAACGTTTTTTAAAAAACTGTTTTTTTGGAACTTATCGTCATAAGATAGAGTTAATAAATTTTCCGCCTGAAGTTTAATCTGATTAAAGACCCAAATAGTTTCTAAAGTAACAAAAATCCCCTTGCTATTAAATTTTAGGTGTTAAAATAAAAGGTAAAAGAACAATTTTATAAATATTTATTAACTTCTAGTAATATAAATTCTAATGTTTTACTAACAATTTACTAAGAATGTGGAAATTTTTGTTATTTCAAAAATCTCAACAATTTTTTTTGTTATTATATGAAATCTAGGAGAGTATTTTTTTTTTTTTTTTTTTTTTTTGTTGTACTCTTAAAGATAATTTTACAAAACTATATATATTTCTTATTTTAGAAAATAATTTTTGGTTAAAAAATTATAGAAATTACACAAAACTTTTTTTTTTATCTAAAATATATATTATGAAATAATTTGATTCAAGTAATATTTTTGTATAAAATTTATATATCTAAATTTACCTGTAACAGTGTAACAGCCATGAAAAGCAAAGAATATTAAGTGAAGAAGAAGGGCATTTAAGGATTTTCTTATAGCAGTTGAAATACTCATGTCAATGAGCTGGTATATTGTCTTATCTTTAGGTGAATACATACCATTCTTATTTTATTATTTATTATTTCTGCATATTTTTCTGGTTTGTGATTTCTTCTTCAACACTGTAAGCGTTGTTGTATATTTAGAAGAGAGAGACTGAGAAACAAAGTGTGAAGAAGAGGTAGATCTTGTTTAGCATTTTTGCAGTGCTACATTTCATCCATAGCAATGGCTTCAAAGCTCATTGATCACAGTCTTTGTGTTTGATCTCATTGCTTTTGGTTTGGCTGTTGCCGCTGAGCGAAGGAGAAGCACTGTGAGTTTCTTAACCAAGTTTATATTTTGTGTTTCCTTATAAAGACTGAATTATGGGGTCTCCTTCATTTGTTTGTTTGTTTTTGTTGAGTAAATTAATTTGTTGGTTATATTTGGGATGAAAATTGTCAGATCTACTGGGAAAAAGTAATATTCTTGGCTCAATTGTTCAAGGAAATCTATCAGATCTCTCTGTTTTCATAACTCTCTCATTTAACATAGGGCTTTTAGTTATTTGTGTGCGGAGGAAATTATTTCCTTAATTCAGATCCTTTTGTGAAAGATGCAATTAATTTGAGCCTAATAATTTTGATCAATATCAGCTACATAAGTGATTATCTGCAAAGGATGTAACAAAATTATGATATGTTTAATTACAGGCAACAATCAGGCAGGATAATGAAGTGAATTATAACTACTGTGTCTATGACTCAGACATTTCAACTGGGTTAGGTGTTGGTGCATTTTTGTTCCTCATGGTCAGCCAAGTCCTTATAATGGTGGCCAGTCGATGCTTCTGCTGCGGAAAAGCTTTAAGCCCGAGCGGTTCAAGGGCTTGGGCAATCATCCTTTTCATAATTTGCTGGTATATTACATCAGAAAGTCAGAAGATTTGATTATGCAATTGATCCAAATACATTTGATTGTTGATTGATTGTTTGTTTGCAATAATCTTTTACAGGGTGTTTTTCCTGATAGCTGAGATATGCTTGTTGGCGGGTTCAGTGAGGAATGCTTATCACACCAAGTACAGAACCATTTTCAGTGAGAACCCTCCCTCTTGCCAGACCTTGAGAAAAGGAGTTTTCGGGGCAGGTGCCGCCTTCGTTTTCTTCACTGCCATAGTCTCCGAATTCTACTATGTTTGCTATTCCAGGGCCAGGGAGAGCTTCCAGTCGTATGGAGGCGAAACCGGTGTCGGCATGGGAACCTACAAATGAGCCTTTTCCAGGGCGATTTGATGCATTAACTTGCACACTCTTTGATGGCTTTTCAGTTGCATTTTGTGTATTATGTGTTCAGTTTAGTCATTGATAGATCATATTCTCCATTGTATTCATGATTATTTTTTCTTTTTTGCTCTTTAACTTCATTGATGCTACTGTTAAATTTTTGAGTGTCATATAGGTAAAATTATAGAAGGATGTTGTTTGTGTTAAATATACTACTACATATAATATTCTTGATAAATGTATTGAACAACTTACATATTCTAATTTTGTCAATATGTCCATTAGTTCTTGTTCTAGTTTTGGTGTTCTGCTCTGCATTTCAACACAAGTTTATCAATTAATCTGAATTTTCTTCCAGTTTCTGTCAAAACCAAGTTCCCTTTTTCTATTCTCTTCAATTGGAAGCTCCATTTTTGTACTAGAAGAGCATACTGGAACCTGAAAAGAAAAAGGGTCACAAACAGCTTTTGTGCCTGTTTGATAGGTTATTTCAAAAACAATAAGATTATAATTACGAGAATATCTTACAAAGATTTCTATACAAAATGAGGTGACAAAAAATGAATGAAAGAGTGAAACAAAAAATTAAATTATTCTTCCATTTATTTTTTGCCACATCACTTTGTATGAAGATCTTTGTAAAATTTTGTTTGTAAGTGTAGTATTAGTCTTTAAAAAATGTTGTTATTTAAAAAATAATAATATTATACTTATAAATAAATCTTACAAAGATTTCCATACAAAGTGAGGTGGGCAAAAATGAATGGAAGAGTGAAACAAAAAGTCAAACTCATTAAATTCACTCTTGTATTTATTTTTTGGCACATAACTTTGTATAAAGATCTTTGTAAATTTTGTTGTAAGTGTAGTATTACTCTTTAAAAAATGTTGTTTTAAAAAACTATCTGAAAGGTTATTTAAAAAATGTTGTTCTAAAAAACTATATGAATAGGATAAGATTATGAGAATATTGTTGGTATAATATCTAAAAATTATATCAGAGTTGGATAAAAGCATAGAATAGTTGTTTGGTATATTTTTTGAAAAGATTTAGATTATTTTTAACCTCCTATATTTGGTAATTTAGTTAAACACCCTCACAGTAAAAGTTTATAAATTAACAAAAACAATCATATCCACCCAAGCCACTGCCAGAAGCCGACCATCATTGTCGGACGGTAGCTGACAATCGCCACAATGGCGCACGACCAGCTGGGTCTGGCCGAAAACAACCAAATCTACTGTCAGAATCTGGTCGTCATTAACGGTCAGATCGGTGCACGACTGGCTAAATCCAGAATCTGGTCGTTCCTGTGACAGCAGCAACGACCGGCAATGTTTGTTGGTAGCCGACAAGAGTTTGGGTGGGTAAGGATAGTTTTATAAATTTTATTGTGAAAATAAAGTTAGAAAAATATTTTGAGTTAAATAAAATATGATAATATAATACAAGTCTCATCTACTTTTTCAACTTTAGACAAAAAAATCATATTTAAATTAGATTAAGTTTTTAAATGAAATAACCTAATAATTAAAAAAACACATATTCTGTTTTTTAATCCGGATAACATAAAAATCAATGGAAAGGGTGAAACAAAAATGCCCATAGATTCTTGAGTTTATATTCTCACAGAAAGAAGACAACATGACTGTTGAATTACTCTTGACGAAGTAAAATTTATGGTCAAGGAAGCTAATATAGCATTGAAAGCGCCATGATATCTAATAATTAATCTTCATGTTGGATTGTAGCTATAAAAGTGGCTCCAAATCTGTCTCCAGTCAAAATTTTAGGAAGGGTCATCATCAGGTCAAGATGGTGAGTACAAATTTTTGGTAAAAAGGCACGGAGTAGTGATGGCTGCAATTAATTTCACCTGAAGGTTATAACAAGTCTACGATAATTTATTGGCCTGGTCTCTCATGGGGAAATTATAATAAAAAATTGTATTCTTCTTCCTATGTATATTTTATTTCAGAGTTTTATATTTGTAGTTACCAAAAAAAAAAAAAAAATTTAATATTTCCCTTTATCATATAAAATAATTTCTAGATTTCATATTTGTCTTGAACTAAAGCAAATATTTATGCAACTACAGCTTGATCTTTTTTTTAAGAGTTATTTATTAGTTTCTTCCTTCTTTTTTTGTTTCATTTTCTTAGTTTTATAACTATTGCTAATTACATTTCTATACCAAAAACTAATCATATAACCAAGAAAAAACTAGAACTTAACCAAACAAAGTGTTTATATTAGTTTTTAAGTGTTTCGATAACTGACAACATTATGAGAACATAAGATACTAAAAGATTTTTTATTATTGAACAAAATAATGATAATGTTTATAAATTCTTCCAAAAAATTTTGAATACGTATAAGAATTTATTTTTAATAATTTTTTTAAATACTATTATACCTTAGAGATGGGATAAAAAGAAGATAAAGTAAGGGCACTAAAAATCATTTCCCTCTCTTTTATTTTATGATACTTTATATACAAACTGATGTGTTTTAAGATGATTGGATAATTTTAAATTTAAAAATAAATTAAATAATTAAAAAAGATTACATAGCAAACATGTAGGGTTGCCACTAGGGGTGTTGAAAAAATATAAAAACCTAACCGAACCAAATTTTCAGTTATCCGAAAAACTGATTCGATTTTGGTTCAAAGAAAATAAAAAACTGAATTTTTAGTTCGGTTACCGGTTTAGGAGAATATGGAAACCGGTTAACCGAAACCGATTTTACTAATCGGTTTATTATAAAAATATTAAATAAAAATAAATAAAAATTTGGTTTATTATAAAAATATAAAATTAAAAAATATATAAAATATTAAATATTAAATTAATACCAGTTCAAAACTAGTTAACTAGTTTTTACTAATCGATTTTCCCCTTAATCGGTTCGGTTTCAGTTCAGGAAAATTCCTGAACCGAAAAACCAGTTCGATTTACAAATTCGATTAACCGGTTTTGAACACCCCTAGTTGCCACACCATTTTATAAGGAATAGTTTGTATAAATGATTAAATATATAAAATTGCCCATAATAGACCACAAAATTTTCTTGTAAAAAATGCCTTCATCCGTTCCTGAACCGAAAAACTAGTTTGATTTACAAATTTGATTAACCGGTTTTGAACACCCCTAGCTGCCACACCATTTTGTAAGGAATAGTTTGTATAAATGATTAAATATATAACATTGCCCGTAATAGACCACAACATTTTCTTGTAAAAAATGCCTTCATCCGTTCATCGTATCCATTCAAGCCCAAACATTGAAATGGAGGACCAAAAAATTTTACTTGGGCCCATAGGTCTCGTTATAGGGTTAGTCTCGGTCTGTGACCATCATACCCCAGCCCGGTCAAATAACATCCCAGCCCAGATCAACTCTGGTCCGGGTCAGCCCATGACTTTTCACATTAATGTTATTTCAGCTTCAGGAAAACTCTTTGTAATTCGCTTTCATCAAGCTGCAACTTTTTGTAATTCTAGAGGTGTTAAATAGATCCAATCGGATAGGAAATTGTACGACTAACCACTTTTTGTAAATTTGCAATTGCTTGGTTCATAACAGTTCCACATTAACCACATTGACATCTCTAGGGGAGGGTCGTCTGGGTACCTACCTAAATTCAAACGAACTGGAATTGGAATCAGAACTGACTAGTTCCTTAGATTTGAAACTAGAACCCGAACGGGAAACATAAGTTATGGCTCTAGTTCCGAGTACCCAGGTTAATTTAATTACCCCTAAATTTTTAAAAAATGACACATAAACCCTATAAAACTTACAAATATACCCCTAATAGTTTATAAAAATTATAATTCAGTCTGGTTCCTACTTGGGTACTCGAATCTCAATTTCAGTTCTGGTTCCAATTCCCGTTCTCTGTACTAGCAGGGGTGGAATTGGAGTCGGAATCGAAACCGGCCAATTCTTGATTTTTAGAACCGAAACCTACCCCCTGAGGATCGGTTTCAGGTAGGAATCGGAACCCCAAGTACCTGCCGGTTCCGATTCTGACCGGTTCTTTTGCACACCCCTAGACATCTCTCACTTCTATGCCGACCATTAAAGTTGTGACTTTGTGAGAGCCATAACTTCAATACAATGAGCAGCTTTTATAAAAATGCAACCACCGGCCACCACCCACTTTGCTTGGCTGTTCAATTCATAGTATGCATTTAGCATATTCATTACAGACGGCTTTAGTTTGTCAATGTTTCCTTTTTGCCAATCTCATGTAAACTCTATAAAGCTGCACTTAAGAAATCCATGAGTTCATAAAAGTTCTTGCACCAATCTGAAATCCATCTTCGTTTCTTTAAATAACCCATGTTAGGGAGATTTTGGGTAACTCTTAAATGCACTGAAACTTTTAACCAAATGCATCTTTTCCATTCAACTCCATTATTATTTTCAAGAGTGAAGAGCAGCTAAATTTGAGTTCTTTGCTTTGCTTGTACTTCTTCACAACATGTGCAACTTCAGATTCCATCAATGGATTTTCATTTTCCTTCTTGACCCTGTTATGTGTAAAAGCTCCATTATATCAGAGAAAAATCATTGCTTGGGATATAAACTGAACCACTTCAATTTCTTTGGCACCAATCAAGGAATTTCTAAGCAATTCATTTTAGCCAGAAGTGCAAAAGAATTTATTCCTATCATGAAGCCAACAGTTCACTTTCTATTGTATCAAACTTCACTACGGACATATCAAGGATTCAACTACACCATATGAATAAAACACTTCATGTGATGGATATTTGTTTGTATACTCAATTCATGATTGCCTTGATATTTCCCCCTTTGAGCTGACTATTCCATAATAATAGGGTTCATAATTGTGCTGGTGTTACAAGTTATCTGGATTTAGCTTGTCAAAGTTAAGCAGAATCTCCCCAACTTATAACACAAAACTATATTGAACCCAGAAATGACCCTACCTTGTTAAAAAAAAATGATGTAAAATATCTCCCTAGTTGATATTTTTGACTTATTTGGAGGATACAATTTGTACGTAGTGTCATATTGTAGATTCGTCGTATTACACGTATCAAGAACTATAAGTTTTCTTTCTTCGTA